AAGCTTGTTCTAAGTAGGTGCTTTAGACCACTGAGCCATCTCTCCAGCCCCGACACCTAGAAACTTTTGATTGTTTCAAATTTCAATTTTTGCTAGCACATGTTTGCCATACATTCATTGTGAGGAGTCGTTCCTTGTACACAAAACTCATCTTTATTCTTTTATGACCCCTTCTCTTGTGGGGTTACTAAACGCCAAGCACCACCCCAAATGTGCATGGTACCACGAGCAACACAGAGCAACCCCAGTGCTTACCTTTCGCTACCTAGACAGGAGGGAGACGCTGCCCAGCAGCCCTCCCTGGTGAAGTCCTCACTGCTCTCGTAGGTTACAGTTGCATTCCACACAGGGCAGCCTGATAGCAGGGACCCTTCTGAAGATCAGAAACGAGCAGAGTGAATCAGAAGTGTGTGTGGCGGGGAAAACGTAAGGAGGGAGCAGGTACGAACGGGGCTTAAAGGAGGGAGTTAGGTACAGAGGAAACGTGTGGGAGAGAACTTCTACAGAACTCTGGTCCACTCCATGCACACGAGAATCTCCTGTTTTCATCACCTGTGTCCCTAGCATATCTAGCAGTTCTCAGCACCGCATAGATGCTCAGTAAATATTCTTTGCATGAATGATGAGTTACATGGAATACTAAGGGTTTGGGGAAATTTGTAAGGTAATGTTAATGAGAAATTTGATTTACATAGGTCTTTAATTGCATCGGATCTCCATGCTCCTAATTTCAGTTCACTGAAATCAACACTTAGTAAAGTGTTGATTTCTTATGCCTTCGATTCCATGTTGGTTATTTGCTGTGGTTTCCTAAAGCCTTTGGATGACTCAGTGCAAAGCTGCTGTGTCCCTTGATGACCAGGAGAGTCAGAATCTGGTCTGCCTTGTGTCTGGGCGGTACAGTTGTGAATCAATGATAAGTTCACATTAAAATGTCTCTTCTGATCTTCTAGCTTACAATCAGCCTTTAGTTTATGAGTGCAAAAATTGTCACTCTCCTGCCATAACCTGTGATACCATAGTTCATATTCCTACTAACTCAGAAGGTATTCAGGCATTTCTGTTCTGCAGTCAGACTTGTGGAGCTCAGATTCAGTGCTAATAGGCTCTGCTTATGAGTTTCCAGGACAACTTAGCCTCTCTGCGCCTCATGCTCCTCACACAGGAGTTGTATAAAAATACTTCTCTGAGAGTTTTAATGTTTAAATGGAGGTGCTTTAGTATCTAACATGATGTAGGCCCTCAACAAGTGTAAGCCATTGTTATTAAAAATTGCCAAGTGGTTCATCCTTTATATCAATACCAACATATTTCAAGGTGAAAGTGACTACAAAGGTGCTTCCTGGGTAGGGGCTTCTGCAATCCAGGAAGAAAGAGTCATGGGTTCTTCTGTTACCCAGGCTTCTGGGTGGAAGGACTAATCCAAATGTTCCTCTCACTGTGTCTAGGTTTTGCACAGTAAGGTAACAGCTTTATATAAACTGTCATATTCCTAAAACCAAACCAAATAAAAGCATCATACCTTTCTCTCTCTCTTTTTTTTTTTATCATACCTTTCAAGAAACACCGAAACATGGATCTCTAGTGAAAAGAAAGCTTCCCACTGGCAGCCTGCCTTCCTGGTAGCTGACAGTTGGGTCTAGCAAGGAATGGGGCAGAACAACCGAGCACATTCTCAACTATGATCCTTCAGCTGAAGGGTGTGGTGGTGCCTGGGTCAGGGAACGTGTGCCCCAAGACCCTCAGTGCAGGACTTTGTCTTTTCCTCCTAAGTGGGGCAGATAACAGGCCCCCTAGAGCCATAGCCATGGGCATAGGGTGCAGACCAGGGTGGGCCCTCAGTTCCACTTCACTACTTGAGCAAAGGTAGCGATGACACCCAGACTGGGGAAGAAGTGCAGGGTGCTGTTCCTAGACTCAAGCTCTGGTGAGATGGAGAACTCCAAAGACAGGTTAACAAGGAATTCCTTTTTTTTTTTTTTTTTTTTTTTTTTTTGGTTGGGGTGGGGGTAGGGTTGGGATATTGCATGCAGAGGTACCCTGCCACTAATCTATGTCCCCAGCCTTTTTAAAATGGGGATGGAGGGACCTGCGAGATAGCTTAGTAGACTAAAGTGCCTGCTTAGATTAGGCAAGCTTAGGCAGTCTGGGACCACAGTGTGATCCCTGGTACCACATGCTTTGAGGGCTGGCTGAGCTGACCAGAATCCTGGTGCAGTGGTGCACACCTATAATCCCAGCTCTGGGGAGGCTGAAAACAAGAGGATCACTATGAGTCCGAGCTCCATAGTGAGACCCTGGAACAACCAAATACACTCAAAAACAAAAACAAAAATAAAAAAATGAGGGTGGAGCTCAGCAATAGGGCATTTGCCTAGTATGCTCAAGGTCCTGAGCTCAGTGGCCAGTACCAACAACAACTGTAACAGTAATAATAAAATGTTTAATTGTGAGGCAGACTTGCTAAATTGCCTAGATGGGGCTTGAACTTGTGACCCTCCTTGAGGGCTGGGCTTATAGGCCTGAGCTGCTAACATGGAACTTTTTAAGGAGACGAAATGACTGCTTTTAGAGGCAGCCTGGCATTGAGGTAGAGGCGCTCAAGCAGGGAGCACCTTGCTGCGGACCAGCAGCTTGGGCTCAGAGAAAGTTCAGTCGCCACTATGAGGTGATACATACTGGTTAGAATACAAGAGCCATTCTTGGGCTCTGCCTGCCGAG